TGTCACACGTATGTCTTTGATTGGGAGGGAGTAATTCAGACCTAATGAGAGTAGTTTTTGTTCATTCTCCGAGAGTGGATGAGATTATAAGTTATGGATGACTTTTTTAATGGTTTGTGGATTTTCCTTTGTTATCAGGCTTAATTTCTCGTTCATTAAAGTATTGAATTTGTTGATTTGCCGATTTCTGATACAATCATTGGTTTTTTGTCGTGTTCGATTTATTAGGTGACAAATCAAATGCCAATATTGTGGTAATTTACATCTAATTTGGTTCCGGAGTGAATATATTTTCTTGTCTATTTCGTATAGGTCTTGAAAATTCGACTTGATGAGTCCTTTGAGGATTTTTTGGTTTGTTTCTTCTTCAATTTTTGTAAAATAAGACCTTGAGCCAAATTTTTTTGTGATGAATTGGTTGTGAAGTCCCCTGGGGATGATTTTCATTTTTTGGCATCTTCTTAAAAATACTGTATTGTTGTGGAATTGGATTTGACGTTTGTACATGAATTCCAGTTTTCGGATATCTTTGACCAGGGCTCCACCGTAGAGCGGTCTTAGTTGATTTATTAAATGTTTCCATCTTCGACATATATATTGATCCATTACATCGGCATCAGAGGACATTTTAACTTGAAGTATTTATTGTTGCAAGCTTTCGATATTCATACAGAATTTCTTCATCAGGCAAAAATATATTTGTAAACTAAAATTCATGTGTACGTTACCTCCTCCAAGTCAAGTTTTGTTTGATATCAAATAATTACATGGTTACATTTATAAATTTTTTTAAAAATACTCTATGTTTTTGAATATGTACCTAAATTCAAAAAATAATACAATAAGTGTTCTAAGAATTAAATGGAATTTTGGGACCTGCATTTTCGGCAATTCCAAATGAGTCTGGCAATTTTTCAAATTTTTAAAACGGATAGAAAAGTATTTAATCACAAAGGGTTTTGGAAGCTTTGGGAAGTAAGCGAAAGTATGTCATATTCGAATATTATGCAACTTATGTAGGTGCATATAACTGAATTTTCTCCGTCCCGCTGATGTTTTCAAAAATATGGCTGAGTTAATAGCGCAGGTAAATTGTCACCATTTTCCCATGGAACTGGGAAAATAATGTGCTCTCGTATAATATTTTCTTCGTCGTTCCAGAATGCTCTAGTATTCTGGAGCGAAAACGATAATATAATATCGAAGATATTGAACTTATCAAAGGGCCCGGCCCTGAAGCTCATACCAGGCCTGACAACTTGACGGTACGGCTCTGTAAATTTTGAATAATATGGCTACACCAAGGAAAAATTTTGTAGAAATTTCAAGAATAAATTTTTACTTCATTTTCTCAAGCATTTGTGTAATTAAGAATTTACCAAAAAAATTAAAATATTTATGTGGAAAGTTTTCAATTTCGATGTTTCGAATAGAAAGTTTTTAGTTGTGGAAATTGGAATTGTTTTAGTGCACTCATTTTTAAGAATTTAAGAAAAAACAAAATAAAATATCCGGAAAGTTTCCAAACTCGATGTTTCGACAGAAAAGTTTTCGGTTATAGAAATTACAAAAAAAATATGTGGAAAATTTCTAACCTCGATGTTTCGAACCGAAAGTTTTTGATTTTAGAAATTGGATTCGTTTTCGTGCACTCATTCGCAAGAATTTACGAAAAAATTGAAATAGTAGGAAAGTTTCGATTTTCAAATTGAAGGTTTGGTTATAAAAATTGGATTCGCTATCGTACACCCATTTCTACAAACTTTCGAAAAAAACGTGGAAAGTTTCCAACTCGATGTTTCGAATCGAAATTTAGATTGTAACATTGGATTTGAAAGTATTTGATAAAAAAATATTGAATACTGTTGTCTTAAATAATAAATATTTTTTGCCACAAAAAAATATACAGATAAATTACATATTTTACTTTTTTCACTAATTTCCAGATCATCCTATTCGTCTGGGGCCACTCCCAGAGCCCCGGCTTAAATATCAGCTTAAGCTAATCTTTATTTGAGCGCGGTTTAAGTCCATTTTTTGGAACCGTCCCAGAGCCCTGATCGGATTATTTTTGGATTGGCTCAACTCAACTTTTGGCTTAAACCAGTCTCAACTTTTCATGAGACTAAATCCTGCCCGACCATAGCTCCAAAATCATTTTCTCCTTGTTAAAACGACCTGCCCATTCCAAATTCATTATCAATAACAAAAAGGATCTCCACTATCAAACCTTATTCTGTCAGGGTTTTGATGAAAACATTTCTAAATTAAATCCAATTTTAATCCATTTAATCCAAGCCAATTAATTCATCTTATCAAATTACAGGTTTCCTCTCCCCCAGTAAAATCTACCATTGTCCCAAACCCCCAAAAACAAGATGAACCTTCCTACATCACCCCCGCCGAGTACACGCCCTCCTGGACCTGGCAAGACTTCCTCACCTGGCGAACCTCCCTGCTCGACGAGGGCATCTCATCCCCAGAAACTATCCCTCCTTTAACCTGGCTGGTCAACACCTACAAAATCTCCGCCTTTCCCTGCCCCCGCTGTACCCGATTTTACCACACCTTCGGCACGTGGTTCCGCCACGAGGCGCCCTGCGAAAAACGGTGCGCCCAACCCGGTCACAAATGCCCCGATTGTGGCTTCAGTTTCACGCAGGGTAGATTCCTGGAAACGCACGTGCGCCGATCCCACATGCCCCTCGAGTTCTTAACGTGTACCGGATGTGGGGTAATTTTCGATGAGTTGAAGGCCTTCAACGAGCACGTGGCCAAGGAGAGCACGTGTCTGGAAAAGGCGATCCTGTGCAAAGGGCGGGGTTGTAAGAGGAGGGCCTATTTCCAGACGAAGGAAGCCTTCGAACTGCACGAGAAGACTAAACACTGCCCCAAGGATTTAAGACCCTTCGTGTGTGAAAAATGTGGAGATAAGTTCTCCTCGACCGGGATACTGAAGGACCACGTGGGTAAAAAACACATGTCTGAAAGCGGACACGTGACTCCACAGCGCGACATTTCATCCGCCGGCGCACGTCCTCCGCGCACCTACTCGCGCGCTGTCAAAAAAGCAGCGGAAAAGCCTCCCGATTACCGTTTGCCGCCGTGCGACTACTGCGCTCACGGCGGGCGGAGCGCGCTCCACTATAAAGATGCCCACCACGACATGTGCGTTTTTGACGTGGGGCCGGATGGGTCCGAGGTGTTGCGCGGGTATCGCTGTCCGCGAGAAAATTGTGACCGCGAAGGAAGGCTGCTTGTGGGCATTAGCGCGATGGCGTATCATATGAAGGGTGATTGCAAAATGAAACGGAAAAAAATTAGCTAATTTTTGAAGTTAGGATGGAAAATTTTTAGTAATAAATGTGGATGAAACCAACATTTCCAAAATTTGTGGTAAAATTTCGGACTACATGAAACGATACTGTTATTTATTTATGCATCACAGCTTATTCATGAATGCAACTTGAAATTGGGAAAATCCGAGAAATAAGAATTAATCAGAAATGGGGGCGCAAATCATGTTCAGCCCTGATTATTTTTAGTCTCACATCCACCTTTCATCCGTCATGAGACAAGCTATTTGCATCCACAAGCCGGATTGATGCAAAAACCTTCTTTGACACTGTCTGATTTATTTAAATTAGGCAATGTCAAAGAAGGTTTTTGCATCCATACTTTAAAGTAAAGACACCAATTTTGCTTTGTGAACATCTGTCTTTCTTGAATTCAGGGCTGTTCAATTACCAATGGAAGTAATTAATTCCTAATTCTTAATTACTCCGACTGCGAAAATTGGAATTAAGTACTAATTGCAAATACGTCTTTGTCCAGTAATTGAACTTAATTATCAATTACAATTACTTTGCAAGCAAGTAATTGATTTTCAATTCCCAATTAGTAATTGAAAGTCAATTACTTAATTAGTAATTACTTAATTCTCATACTTAAGACTAATTAAACGCTATTTAAAGGCTAACTTTCGACCAAAAATTCATTTCCGAATAGGATAAAACTTTTATAAATATCTTGGTACAGCAAACAGTTCATCTTATATGATCCAAAAGTTTAAAATTGCTGTGGATCTTTACTCCAGATAGATAATGGCCTTTTCTTCCCACAATTACAACATTAAAATTGTTAATGCGTACATTTCTACCCAATGTATTTTATCTGAATCTGACTAACGAGATTGCTGAAGTAATTTTTGCAGTCCATGGAACACAGGTGGTTGAAACAATTGTAATATAAAATTGTACTAAGCTTGAAGTCCAAAAGCTGAATGGGAATGATGACCAAAGCGTTCACAACGAAAGATATTTACATAATTCGAGTTCTTCTGGAGAGGGAGGCTTGTCGTATTTCATTCCAAGTATGTTCGATTAAGTAATTGATCAAAGTAATTGAGTACTCAATTACTAATTACTACTTGGCAAAGTAATTAAGTACTTCCAATTTTAATTACTCCAGGTCCTCCAAGTACTTAATTACTTTGACAAATACCGGAGTAATTGAAATCAATTACCAATTACTAATTACTTCAAGTTCTGTAATTAAGTAAGTAATTAAGTACACAAGTAATTAAGTACCACAGCCCTGCTTGAATAACTTGTTTCGAGCTTTAAAATTTTGAATTAGATTTTCATGAAGTTTTTCAGCACCACACGCAATGCACATTTTGAGACAGTGGCGGATGAGTCTGTGTCTGACTACGGATTCACAGCCTGCGTACGGGAACCCGGAGGATCCGCCACTTCGTCAACAAACTGCATTTGATATACTCTGCCCACGAGGGACTGTGCAGAAAGCATGTGAACGACTTGAGGGAGTGGGGTAGGGGTCAAGGTACGCTATCCTTCCCATGTTAATTATAATATGGGGCACGTAGGTCACACCGGGGGGAAGGGAAAAAATTTCGGCGAAAATCGATCATATGCTTTATGTACGGCCCCCCATTGAATGTCAGTTGGCCGGCTAATTTTCTTCCCTCGTTTTCCATGAAAAAAACCAGATCATTCCTCACGCACGACCCGCTTTTCTCCTTTCACAACATATAACTCGATCATCTGCTCAACCGCTAAAAATTCTGAGGCCACTCCCAGAGCCCCGGCTTAAATATCAGCTTAAGCTAATCTTTATTTGAGCGCGGTTTAAGTCCATTTTTTGGAACCGTCCCAGAGCCCTGATCGGATTATTTTTGGATTGGCTCAACTCAACTTTTGGCTTAAACCAGTCTCAACTTTTCATGAGACTAAATCCTGCCCGACCATAGCTCCAAAATCATTTTCTCCTTGTTAAAACGACCTGCCCATTCCAAATTCATTATCAATAACAAAAAGGATCTCCACTATCAAACCTTATTCTGTCAACGTAAGTAATTATAATTTACCTTCTCTCTTTAACAATAACAATTATATATACACGTTTCTCCCCCACAGGTTGCAACGTGACCACCGTGATCAATCTCGCATTCACTGCTAGACAAGTAAGTCGATTTAAAAAAAATTAATGGTCCTCACTCATAATTAATGGTGGTGACACATTTGTTTAGATGCAGTACTCAATTGGGGCCAGTGAAAAGCATGCAGAAGATAGTTCTTTATAAGAAATTAATTGTTACAGTAGCTGAAGAAGCAGCCTTATCATGGGTGGACTGAGACCGTATATAATAAATTGTTCTTCATTAACGATTGCATCATACAAATGAGTTCTCAAGCTTTCTTTATTTGCATTCAGAACAACATGTACTCAAACATGGGACTGACTTAGATAAATCTAGTCGTCACTCATAGATAGGAAGTGGCCCGTTCGTGACCTGTGACCAATGATTGATGTATGTAGAGCCCATACTTGAAAACATAAATCAACACTTTCGTCACCTCGATAGGTCAATAGAGGTCTATCTGTAAAAAAAAGTGAGGGAGAGTGAGTCACGGCCAAATTTTGTGTCAAGACCACAATTTCTAACCTGTCGGAAATTTGAAAGAAGGATCACGTAGATCAATACCACCGGGAATGCTATTTAGGAGCTAAAATTGATTCACGTGCTTATGAAGTGGCGATAACAGCTGTAGCGATCAGTCCTAGTAAACAAGTTATAATAATGAGAATTCGAAAACTGATAACATCTTAAATAAAATGATAAAATCGATACTTCCAATTACTAATTTTTCTTACAAACGTGCCTCATTTTTTCACTGCTTATTAAATTGCCCTTGCAGCGTATAGTTGTGGTGTTTCCAAAATGCACCAGTAAGAAACGTAGGACTGTAGAAACAAGGGACCGTGGTAATTATTTTCCCTTCAAGATGATGATAAAGTTTGATAAGCTCTCTTGCGCTCCAAGCTGGCGCACCACCCTAGCACACTATAATGTTCCCTTATATCACGTTCACTTAGTCTCTCAAATGTTTGCCTTCTTTTATATATTTGTCTTCTAATTGCATTCGGTAGGAATAAAGGCACTCCCATATAAAGGAGTCACGACTGCAATAATTTGCAAGTCAAGGCCCGGTGGAGACTCAAGGGCGAATCACTTGTTCGTCACTCGGAGGAATTAACTTGTAATTTTAGTTGAGTATGCTATAGCATACTCAAATAAAATGTTAAAAAATAGTTCCAAGTAAAATTGAAGTATTTACTTGTGAGCTAACAGGTGAGAGAAAGAGAGAGATTTGGACTTACGACTAGTAAATAGCAGTCGCAGCATTTTTGGCTTAGTTTTGGTCGTAAGTTTTTCTCTCGACACCATTTCAATCCGTGTCCAGTGCCCCGGCTCAATTTCGGATCTGATTAGATTTTAAGCGGATTTTAACAATGGAAAAAGTTTAAACTTTTTTCTGGGACGGAAAAAAATCGGATAATGTTTAAGTCGATTTTTTTTGGCTTAAGCGGGGCTCTGAGAGTGGCCCCTGGATTGGATCAAATTACATGTCTTCGTTTCGTCTTGAAACTAATAATTATACTCCCTCAGGAACGAAGCTCTCGTCCTCGATGAAAACCTCGGTAAATTAATTAAGTTAAATTAATTAAGTTTTTCCAGAAACATAAAAATTTGATTTACATAAGTCAATTATATTTCCCAAAATTAGAAGTAACTTCAAAACTCAGCAGTCCTCCCCCAAAAAACAGAGCAAACCCATGAGAACTTAATACCTGGGAGGAACCGCAAATCTCGCCAGATGCCTTTTATCATTTATGGGGGATGGTAAGTAAGAATTCAAGCTCTTTAGTTATCATAAGGAAGACTAAAACTTGCCCGAAAACAATTCCACTAATTCTACTTTAGAGGTAAAGCACTCGTTAAATGTAACTCGTTCCAAAATACCGGCCATAATCGTACCTGTTCACATTCATTTATTCATTCAATAAAGCATTATTCATTTAGTACATGAAAGCGAATATTTTTTTGAAACATTCTTACTGAATGAATATTTAATGAAGACATATTCATTTCATGTTCGAGTGAATAACTTTATTTATTATTAAGCAGCCCCAGCTACTTATTGTGATCGCTTTGTCGGTCCGGTTTGAGGGTGGGTAGGGGATTGACGGTCAGTTTAGCGAAAGCCAGTTTGGCGAAAAAAAAATTTTCGCCAATGTGGTAAAAAATTGTCATGAAAGTACTAAATGGCGAAATTATTGTCACATTTGGCGAAAGTGGAAAACTCGTAAAAGTACATTTGGCGAAATTTAAATTTCGCATTTATTTATGTCAAATCGATATAATAAGTAACTTGAGAAATAATTTGATTTCTATCATTCATGTCGTATTATCTGCATAATATCTTCATGAGTTACGATTTTTACAAAATCCTCGTTTTCGCCAATTTTCGCCAAAAGGTACTTTAAATAAAATACAACTAACGTACGGTGAAATGAAATTTGTTTTTCACCAAGTGGGATTATTTTTTGGCGAAAGTTTTTCTCCAAAAGTGTTTTCGCCAAACTGACCGACTACCGGGTAGGGGCCAGAGCATCCTAGCCTTCCCATGTTAATTATTACATTAAGCATATCTATAGGGGGAGGTAGGGGTCAAAATTCCCTTAAAATCGGTCACATGCTTCATGTACGGGCCCTTATTTTTCCTCCTTGTTATTCTACAGTTCTCCCTACGCCGGCTTTGGACAAGGCGGGAGTTTTCCACCGTTCGGCGGGGGTTTTCCACCCTTCGGCGGGGGTTTCGGGTGGGGTCCAGGCCTTCTTCGCACCAAACCAGCCAGCCTGGCGTGGTGTAGGAATGACGCTGGTTGCAAAAAGATTTTATTGCCGTGCGCGGGGAATGAAGCGTGCGAGAAGGAAATGATCCTCTGCGACGACGATGACCTTGACTGTCACGCTGATGTTGAACAGAAATACAAAAAAACAACAAGATTCTACGGATTCCCGCCGCCATATTGGTGGCGGGGATAATTACGTCACCCGCCGTTGAGAAGTTATGCACGGCGTAGCAAGCACAATGGTGGTCTCTCAGCGTATGCTCCCCGATTTCGACCAAAGTAGTGTCAATCGATTACAAATTTAATTAGTGTAAAGAAATGATCACCAAATTCTTAATATTTGCATTTGAAGAGAAGAAAACGCGCAAGAAATTTGGAAAGTGTAAAATTTGTCAACCTTTTACCACTTACTTATTCTCCTCTTTGGATTAAAACATCTCCGCCAAAACCTTTCCTAATTTTACATTAATCAAATTTGCCATCGATTGTGGATACTTACATAGTCCGACCATAAGTTCCCGTGAATGCATTTCCGGTGATAAAGCCCAAAGTATTAGAGCTATCTGATAGAAATTTTTGTGGATGAACAAGGTATTAATCTTGTTTAGAAATCATAACTTCGTTTTCACAATTTCCTCCACGGGCTTGTACACAAGACATAAGTCGTGGCAAAAACTGCTAGATGGCGGCACGCACGGATTTCCTGGGAAAAGCGCCAGATCTTCAGTAAGTGCGACCTCAGCCCTTCCACACTTGAGTGAAATTTAGAGGATACTTGTACCTATAATTTTGACCACCAGTCATAATTTAGGGAATTAAGGTCTGCAGATACTGAGCACCGTTCTACGGATGAAAAAAAGTCATGAAAATTCGTCTGAAGCCAGTTTTGGACAATTTTGCACCTTGCGCATGAGCAGAGTCTTGTTGAAAGGTCCAATGGCGATTTTCGGAGGGTCCAGGGTTCAGGTTATTAACGTTTGTCTCTAGGACACTCTGAAAATAATTCTTGGCTTCAACTTGTACCATTTGCGGTAAAAAACAGAGATTTCACTTCTCCAGCCAACTTGCTCCCATTCACACCACGGTGATGACTTCGTATTGACTTCCGCATACTTAAACGGATGTCAGACTTCTGTACAACAAACATCTGGCCTTTTTTTCTATTAAATTTTTTGCCAACGGTGAAAAGTCTTAAATACTTTTGGCACGAAAATTGGCGCGTACCACGATCGACCTGTGGCCGTCACGAGTTATGTCTTGTCTAATTGCCCGTGGACGAAATCTTGACAAAGAAATTATGATTTCTAAACAATATTAATACCTTGTTAATCCATAAAAATTTCGAACAGATAGCTCTAATACTTTGGGATTTATTACCGGAAATGCATTCACGAGAACTTATGACCCCACTATGTATTTGGTCAAAAGCTGACAGAATATACGCTGGGAAAGTCGGGTGGGATATTTTTAGCCATCGTAATAATACTTATTAATTTTATTTCAACCTTAAGATACATACAGACATAAATATGTGAAGTGATCCTGCCGATGGCATTACATAAGTTTTCCCACAAAAAATATTACAAATGTGGAAAAATTGAAAGTAAAATAACTGAGGTGAAAAATTCATTTCAAATACAAGTAACGAATGGTTCCTTTATTAAGGGGTGAAACCCCCTTTATGGAAATGTCTTATCCGTCTGTCTGTCTGTCCGTCCGTCCGCCCGTATCCACGATAACTTTAGAACGGATTCGAATTTCGGCATCCGGTTTTCGCCAACGTGTTTCTAATTTTTGGGACGGGATGAATTCGAAGATGGGCGTTGTAGGTCATAAGGTCAACGGTCAAAGGTGTCGAATTTTTTGTTGCCACCGTTTTAGACGTATTTTTGGACGGGGATTTCAGAAATCGCCATCATTTCGACGTGCAACGACCCTGTGACCGTGTGGGAGGTGTCGAATATCGAAAAAATGACTTTTGTCATGTGGGGTGTCTATTGAAAGGTATTGTCATGTACGTTTGAAGTACGCGGGTGGGGGTGTCAAAACGGAAAAATAAGACGTGGGGTAATGTGAGACAATGACGGGAAAGTGCTGAAAAACGCTGTGGGCGTGCCACAAAGACAATTCCGTGTGTTTTTACCCCTTTGCTTCATTTCGTTTGCAACGGTTTATGTATCTGGGTGACGAGTACAAATTACCTAAATAAAGCGTGTTGATTTAATTCGTCCCGATTTCTCCTGTCATTATTTGAAAAACTTGCACCGCAAAACAAGTGATCACTTCAATCTTATGTTTTCTTATTACAGACAAGTTGATAACTAATGTTCAAACAATTTATTCTAATCACGCCCTAAATTCCATTCTTTTGAGTTTGTGCTAATTTTAGTAAATTTGCGTCACGTTCCTGACCAACCCATCGGGACGAATTAAATCGATATCTTTTAATCACACTTGCTAGTTTGTGGATCGGCGCACCACTGGTTCGCAAAATATGCGCACCGAACCACACCGCGAATCACATCCGGTGTGGATCGCGGTGTGGTGCGCTGGGTTTTCGGCTTTTGCTGGTGTGGTTCGCGGTGTGGTGCGCTGGCTCGGAGGTGCGGTTCGCTATTGTTAATCGCAAATGAACCTTTAAACCTTTGGCACCATTTCCAGCTCTGGTAAAAATTTGGGTCAAGAATGATCCAGTGTTTCGTTTTGGACGTTTTCTTACTTGCAGTGTCCAAAATTGTCCAATAAGACAATTTGCCTATTTGCTACAGCTTCTGTATTCATGCCGTTTTGGTAAATGCATTTTCAGATATAATGTCCTTTCAATTTTGGGAAATGTAATTCGCAATACCACGAAATTTGAGGACAGCCTTTTACTAAATATGTGGTATTATATACGAACACATGCAAACAAATATATCTTACGTGTATATCTTGAGAAATCGATCATAAATTCTCTAAATCGTGCCGTGTCATACTGTGTATACATAATATGCTCAAACTGAACAGGAATAGCATCTTCCAATAAATAATCCAGCAATACATTTTGGAGCTCGGAACTTTGAGGTCCAAAAGTGGTTAAAACCATTTTTGGACTGCTATTTTGGCCGGTGGTTACAACCACCACGAAACACTGGAATAATTATAAAAATATATTTACTATACAAAATAATAAAATGTTCCATTCTGAATTGATAAAACTGGTGAAAATGTTAAAATGTAGAATTTTAATAATTATGTATGGGGAAAGTTTTTTACAAGTCACAGTATTGTTTAAACATAACATGCGTGTTTGTCGTATCTTTAAGCAGTCAGTGAACCATTGGTTCGCAAAAAATGCGCACCGAACCACACCGCGAGCCACACCGGTGTGGTTCGCGGTGTGGTGCGCTGGGTTTTCGACTTTCGCTGGTGTGGTTCGCGGTGTGGTGCGCTGGGTTTTAGGCTTTTGCTGGTGTGGTTCGCGGTGTGGTGCGCTAAGTTTAAGACTTGGCTGGTGTGGTTCGCGGTGTGGTGCGCTAAGTTCCCGACTTGGCCGGTGTGGTTCGCGTTCGCGGTGTAGTGCGCTGACCCAAGCTAGCAAGTCTGCTTTTAATACATGTAGGAAACTCGTTTAACATA